GGGGAAACTTCAGTTGACCGAGAAGGAAAAATAATGTGTACGTATTGCAAAAAGCCCGGCCATGCGGTGGAAAATTGCTTCAAGCGGACGGGTCAATACCCGGAATGGTGGTATGATAATCCCGGAAGGGGACGTGGGTCAAGAGGACGTGGTAATTCCGGACGAGGTCGTGGCAGAGCCACGGCTCATGCCATGCAAACGAAGCAGGAAGGTGATTACAATGTTACTCCCGGAGCACCTGGTACGGTTGAAGCATCACATATCCCAAACTTTACCGAAGACCAATGGAAGAATTTTTTACACTTGATGGAGAAGTGTAAGACCACGGACTCACAAGAAAAATTTTCAGGTATGAGCTCTTGTATTAATACTTGGTTATTAGACTCCGGTGCTTCGTTTCACATGACCGGGCAGACGAGCTTGTTGATGAATATACAGAAAATAAAACCGCTGCCTGTTTTCCTACTAAACGGTGAAGTCACCTCAGCCACAAACAAGGGAACTATGCAGATAAGCCTTGGAATTACATTGCAAAATGTTTTATTGGTTCCAGGATTAACTTGCAATTTAATTTCCTTGGCAAAATTAATTGAAGACCGAAAATGGAGTGTATTTTTTACTAATGATGTTTGTGTGATACAGGACCTACCTTCGAAGATGCTGATTGAAGCGGGTGAAAAACATGGAGGAGTATACTATTTTTGTGGTCTTGATTCTGTTCGTGCCTGTTCTATAACGGAGAAGAGCAAAGGAGATTTGTGGCACTCCCGGTTAGGACATCCATCAGTCAAAGTTTTACGTTCTGTTATTGCTTTGAATAATTCCATGTTGGACTCTAGTTTAAATAAAAGTTGTGACGCATGCTTGCGTGGAAAAAAGACACGTGACGTTTTTCATATTAGTGATTCCAGAGCTTTTGCAGTTTTTGATTTAATACATTGTGATGTGTGGGGTTGATATGCACTAGTTTGTAGTGCATAAATGTATGTTTTTATATCTATTCTGTGTGGATTGTTTACCATTTTTAGTTAGTTTTTAAGCAATCATCTTCATTTGTTTGTAATTGATTTTAATCATTTTTAGTAAGTTGTAAAGTAGTAGTAGAGTTATTGGCAAGAAAAAGAAGTGAAAAGAAGAAGAAAAATATCCAGGTGCACAGACCCGGCCGGGTCAGACACTTCACCCGGTCGGGTCTGATTTAACAGACGCAGGTACTCAGGAAATTACATCACCCGGTCGGGTGAGGTATTTCACCCGGTCGGGTCCGACTTGACCCGGAACACCAGAACGTGCCGAAGATCACCAGAACGTGTAGGATATTTGATTTTGACATGCACCCGGTCGGGTGGGCACTTTACCCGGTCGGGTACCCGGCCAAAGGTGTTGAAAAACACCTATAAATAGCCCCATTTTCCTTCACAAAAAAACATCCCTTCTTCCATACTCTTAAGCTCAGTTTAGAATAGTATTTCTTTTATATTTTTATAGCATGTTTAGTCTCCAAATGAGGAGCTAAACTCTTCCATCTTGGTTTTGCTACTTTGAAGCTTAATGAATTTGTAAGTTGTGAGTTATTATCTTTAATCTTCTTCCTTGAATATTAATTCTTTCTCTAAATACTATTTCTATATCAATGTTGGGGAGTGTTACTAAGATGACAATTAGTTAACATCTTGACATTAGTTATAGTAATAGTTATTTCTTCCTCTACGTTAATATCGGGGAGTGTTACTAAGATGACAATTAGTTAACATCTTGATATTAACTATAGTAGGATTCATCTTCTTTAATATTCTTTCTTGAGTATTAATTAATTCCTATTCATATTTCATATTAATATTTTGAACATTACTTAAAGGATCAACTAGTTTTGTTTCATATATTAATTATTACTAGAATCAATCGGTTAATACGCTTGTTATTAATTCGGTTCTTTCAATGGTAGTAAACTTGGGTTGTTAATGCATGCTTCTCATGATTAATAAGCCAAGGGGAATTAATTATATTGATTAAACCAATAAACCGCTTGTGTTGAGGTTATCAATCTCAATCGTTTTCATCTTGATTTTATTGCTACTATCAAGTTAATATACGGCGCTTGTTCTATATTGACTCGGAAGTAAGTTTTATTAATGAACGCGTCTCGTTATTAATAACTACCCTCGATGAATTGGATATACTCCTCGATTGAGTATTCGAGAGGAAGATAGTTAAAGATATAACTGGGATCGACGAACATTTCATTAAGTGGATAAAAGCAAAGCCAAGTCTTCTTCTCATTAATTAAACCACACAACTTGTTCATCTTCGTGTTTAATTTATTAAACCAAATCAAACTAAAACCCCCCATTTTGTTACTAGTTCTATAAAAAGAAAAGTATTCCTTTCCCTGTGGATACGAACCTTACTACGCTATACTACGTATAAGTGTTGTATTGTATTATTATTTTGAGTGCACATCACGACAAGTGCACGCCAGGGGTCCATATTGTTCTCCTGCATCATGTGGTGCTTGTTATTTCTTGACTATAGTTGATGACTATTCACGTGCGGTATGGGTTTTTTTGATGAAAGAAAAAAGTGAGGTGTCCCGAATACTTAAACAATTTCTTGTGTTGGTGGATCGTCAATTTAACAAAAGGGTGAAAATTGTTAGGAGTGATAACGGGACAGAATTTCAGTGTTTGAAAAATTATTTTATGGATCATGAAATTATTTTTCAAACAACTTGTGTTTACACTCCACAGCAAAATGGACGGGTTGAACGTAAACACAGGCATATTTTAAATATAGCGCGGACTATTCGTTTTCATGCTCACCTTCCTATTGATTTTTGGGGCGAGTGTGTGTTGACTGCATGTTATCTTATAAACCGGTTGCCTTCTCCGGTTTTGGAGTATAAGAGCCCTTATGAGTTATTGTATAACAAGGCACCCAAGTACGAACATCTTCGTGTCTTTGGTTGCCTCTGTTATGCACGTTCACACGGGACTAATGGTGATAAATTTTCTCAAAGGGGGTTGAAATGTATTTTTTTAGGGTATCCTTATTCTTAAAAGGGTTGGAGGTTGTATGATCTTGAATCTCAACATAGTGGTAATGCAACCACCGTCCCATCTTATTGGAGATGATCTCGATGGCATGCATGAAGATACGAATGATGATGGTACATGCATGCATGGGAACATGGGTCATACATCAACATCATTGGGTACTGGCAGTGTTGAGGATATGGGGAATACGACATCTGTTTCACATAATCATTAGGCTGGCCGCACTCACACATCTGAAGCCGATGTACGACGCAGTACACGACCAAAGCACCAGCCGTTGTGGCATAAAGACTACGCCGTGCAGATTAGTACTATGAAAATAGATACTCCTCCGGTTGTTTCCTCGTCTTCATTAGTTGATTCAGGTAACCCGTATCCCTTATCTCGTTATGTAATTTATAACTGTTTTTCGGTGCAGCATTGTGGTTTTCTTGCAGCCATTTCGATCACTAGGGAACCAAATACATTTCGTGAGGCAGTCAGTGATCCCAATTGGCGGGCTGCCATGCAGCATGAAATCGATGCATTGGAACGCACAGGTACGTGGAAATTACAGGATCTTCCCCTGGTAAGAAACCTATTTATTGTAAATGGGTTTACAAGATCAAACATAAGAGTGATGGAAGCGTTGATTGTTATAAAGCCAGACTTGTAGTCTGAGGTAATCGCCAGGTACAGGGAATTGATTACGACGAGACCTTTGCGCCAGTTGCCAAAATGGTCACAGTACGTACTATTTTGGCCATAGCTGCGTCTCGCGGATGGGAGACTCATCAGATGGATGTCGACAATGCCTTCTTGCATGGTGACTTACAAGAGGAGGTGTACATGCATTTACCCCCGGTTATTCATCAGCTAAACCGGGACAGGTGTGCAGGCTGCTTCGGTCACTCTATGGGCTTCGTCAAGCCCCACGTTGTTGCTTTAGAGATATTAGCTACGGAAGATATTTTTGGGTGGGAATAAGATGAGATGAAGAGGTATTAGAAGACGTCATAATGGGTTCGTTTATGAATCAATCAAATGATTGAAGGTATCTGATACCATGAAAGATAATAAAGTGGCTGAAAAGGCTTAACCAATCGTATAGATTAGTTGGCCATTTATATTGATATATTCGCACTAAACTCTCAGGTAGTTACATACTTACATGTGATAAGGATGGAGTATATGATTTACAGGGATAGTATTCTTTTTTTTTTTGCGAGATACAGGGATAGTATTCTATCTAATACAACCGAACTACAAAGAGATAAGTACAAGTAATACTTTAATTAATAAATACATTAGATATTATAATCTATCATGAAGTACTATCAAAGACACCAAGGAAAAAAGAAAAATGGAAAAAAGTAAATAAAAAAATGGAAAACAAATGTCAAATACCAGAGTTTTCATCTAGTAATCTGTCTCAATCCCTGATTTTCAAGTAGTGCGTATTTATTTGATACTTTGTCTAGTAGATGAGTTGGATTGATGTATGTATTTGATACAGTAGGATGGTGTATTTGACCTTTTTTCCAAACATAATTTATTCTTTTTCCATGATTCTTCAGAATCAGTCAATACATTTATTTCAGTTAAAATTTTATAAATTTCATCCAATTTCAGTTTTACCAAATAGACTTGTGATATACGGAGGAGTATACATCATCCGCACCACTATATTTTGAAAAATTCTCGAAATAGGAGTATAATTGTGTGAGAATATGAAAAAAGAACCGTCATGTTTTTATTCGCTAAATAAGACTAATTGCTATCAAGCTTGGAAAATAATCTCATGTTTAAAGTTTAGTACTGCGAAAACATGACAGTAATCACTCATATTTAAAGATTAAAAACATGATGGTCTTATTTATTGTTATAATAACATTGATTCAAATCAATTCAAAGATTAAATAAATTAAAGCGGGTTAATACAATTAATTAACAAGCAAATGAACGAACCTCAGCTATTAAGGCATAAGATGGTTGAGCAAAGATTTTACTAATAGGCGGCAAGAACATCCTGTGACAAGTCTCCATCTTATAATCGCACACTTTTAGTGATGGGTTTTTATTGCTTGCCAAGAAGACTTCTTGGTTTGGGGTCAATTGGAACAGTGAAGAAGTTCTTGTGGTGAAGATGATGTCAGTCTCCCCTTTCTCTACTCCTCTGTAAATGTCCCACGACTCAAGCGGAAATATCTTCTAAATATTCAGAAGTACTGAATCAATTACTCATATGTATTTTTTTTGCTTCGAGGAAAAAACTAGGTGTACATAAACTTGTGCATACCATGTAGTTGCATGCATGTATGTGAATCATAACTAGTAAAGAACTTAGAATGTTTTTGGTTGGACTAATTTGAGTCCCACACTAGACTTGACATGATCATAACAGTCGTAAACACATCAGGTCATACCACACTTCGACAATTATAAAATATAGATAAATCAAACATCCAACAAACTAGACAAGATTAGTTCAGGTCAGACCAGATATAAATTGACCATACCAAATTAGATTAGACCGGATCAAAAAATTTTAGTCCAATTAAAAACAAAGGCTTGGTCGCAAACAGCTACATTACTATTTAGGTGATCGTCTAATGCTCCACTCATCTACTTTACTAAGATCAGTTAGAGTATATGTGTTCAAGTTTAAAACAAGGGCCTGCATGCACTCTTACAAAGAAATATGGTCGCTTAAGAAGTTTGTTATTGTGTAATGTAATATAGAGTTCAAAACAATTTTTAATTTCTTAACTTAAACAACTCTATCTCGATTATTATTTATACTGAAACGAAACATCCCCATTATTAAAATTGTGTTCTAATGAATTGAACGACTTTATAGATTCCATTATTTTCACATCTTAGGATCCTAATTACATAAGTTACATGATGTTACTATTCACATTGAAATATAACTTTTTATTCCTGAATGGGTACATCTCACGTTTGACATATGACACGAAAGTGCCGTCCAAAAACCGGGGTGCAACTCATCTTAAGCAATTTTCATTCTTGTGTGATTAAAATTCAATTTATAACTATTTGACACGCTGATTAATTTTGAGTGAGACCAAGTTGCTTAATTAATCCGCCAAGCTAAAGCTCTAATTTAAAACTGTACGTTTCATATTTCTCTGTCTCAAAACCCTAGCAAACACTCATTTTCCCATATCCCTCAAAGTTCTAATATTTTCAGTGCAATTTCATCACAAAAAGCAAACGAATATCCAAATTGCATTTTAAGTTGAAATGTGCTTTTTAAACTGCCAAATCTTAGAGAGGTGCGAGTTCAATATCCAATCCAATCATATTTTGAACTTTTATACGGAGTATTAAAAGTTTTCTTAACACGACTATAAATTTTTGTCTATATGTATAATATTAAGTGCACAATATAAAACATAAAAGATTTTGGGGATAAACTTAGCATTATATTGTCACTTACGTTTATCATATAAATATTTAAGATATAAAGATGTTTTTACTTGTTTTCGGCCCTAGACCAAATCAGACCAGATTTAAACAGACCAGTTCAGATCAGACTTCCACAGTTATAAAATACACAAAGACCAGACCAGTTCACACCAGACCAGATCAGACTTAAATAGATCAGACCAGACCAAACCAGTAAATTCTAGTACAAGTAAAAACATCCTAAAACGTAATTAAAACTTCAAACATTTTTGGGGGATACACTTAGCATTGTAATTAACGTACTTTTGTTGATTATATAGATATTTAAGTTCAAGTAGTGTAAAACTTCATTAAAAGTTAGGAAGATTTGTAATTTTAGCCGGGTAGCTTTTGGTTTTGTCCGTCAAATAACTATTACTCCAATTTTAGCCGGAGTAAGCCCTAACAATTTAAAAACAGTTAGAAGAATGAATTCACCGTAATCCAAAGTGTATTGATCGTACCTATTAATAGGCTGATTACAAAGCAATCCTATCTGATACAAACTTCTATCTAATACATCATACGTACATAAATAAGTCTAGGTACATTACTGTTGAAGCTACCTAAAACGAAGGGATCGGTAACAATACAAGTGGCTAATATATTAGATATATACAAACGAATATATTAGAATATTTATATTAGTAGACCGTGTGATGATAATAACGTATGCATGAGGGATAATACCGCATGCATAATAATAGCGGCTAACACGCCCCCGCAGTCGAAACGGGAGAGAGACGAACGTTGAGACTGGACCGGAATTCATCAAATAAAATTCGAGGCAGACCCTTTGTAAAAATATCAGCAAATTGACGGCGGGATGGAATATGAAGGACACGAATATCACCATGAGCGACCTTTTCCCGGACAAAATGAATATCCATTTCAATGTGTTTGGTGCGCTGATGGTGAACCGGATTCCCAGTCATATAAACAGAGCTGATGTTGTCACAATATACTAGTGTAGCTTTGTTAAGAGGACAACGTAACTCAAGTAATAAGTTGCGGAGCCAACATGTTTCCGCTACAACATTAGCTACTCCACGATATTCTGCCTCGGCACTTGAGCGGGATAAAGTAGGTTGACGTTTGGAGGACCACGAAATAAGGTTGTCACCCAAAAATACACAGTAACCGGAAGTAGATCGCCGGGTGTCAGGACACCCACCCCAATCCGCATCCGTGTAGGCAACCAGGTCCGTAAGAGATGAGGAGGAAAGGTGTAGGCCAAACTGTGTAGTGCCTTGAATGTAACGTAGCACCCTTTTTAAAGCATGAAAGTGTGGTTCCCTGGGATCGTGCATGAACAAGCAGAGTTGCTGAACGGCATAAGAGATGTCGGGCCAGGTAAAGGTAAGATATTGGAGAGCTCCGGCGAGGCTGCGATATAGGGTGGGATTCTCAACAGGTAGCCCGGCAGAAGCACTAAGCTTGGCATGAGAGTCGACGGGGGTGTTGACGGGTTTGCAATCAGTCATACCGGCGCGCCTCAGAATGTCCCTTACATAAGCGGACTGAGATAAGAACAGACCGGAGGAGTGACGAGCAAAAGAGATACCCAAGAAGTACGTTAAGGGACCAAGGTCGGTAATAGAAAATTCGGCGGCCAACTTCGAAATAATAGACTGCCGGAGATGATCAGAAGAGGCCGTAAGAATTATATCGTCCACGTAGAGGAGAATATATGCGGTGTCGTGGCCCTGATGAAATGTGAAGAGAGAATGATCACATGTACTGTGAGAGAATCCGATCTGAGCAAGATGAGTAGCAAACCGATGATACCAGGCCCGTGGGGCCTGTTTGAGCCCATATAGGGATTTTTTCAAATGGCAAACATGATGAGGGCGTGTGCGATCGCGGTAGCCCGGCGGTTGATGCATAAACACAGTTTCCTCCAAATGACCGTGTAAGAAGGCGTTTTTAACATCAAGTTGGTGAAGGGCCCAAGACCGAGAGAGAGCAATGGTGAGAACAAGCCGAATAGTGGCCGGTTTAACAACCGGACTGAAAGTTTCATCACAATCAACACCAATTTGTTGAGAGTTACCATTGACGACGAGTCGAGCTTTATGACGTTCCAACATACCATCCCACATGCAACGGATAATATTAGCGTTAGGAGGACGGGGAACTAACTCCCACGTCTCATTCTTAATTAAAGCACTAAACTCATCATCCATAGCGGCCTTCCCATTCGGGTCCTGAAGGGCAGTGATAGGGGAACGGGGTAAGGGAGAGGGAGTAATAGAGGCAGCGAGATTAAATATATGTTTCGGTTTGAGGGTTCCAGTACGACTCCTCGTCTGCATGGGATGGGATGAGGATGAAAGTGGAGGGTTGCATGGCATGTGTACTGGACGTGGATGTGTAATAGGAGGAGGTGGAGGGATATTGGTGTGAGGTGGGGAATTATTATGTGGTGGGGTATTAGCTTGAGGTGGGGAAGGGATAAGGCTACTGACCGTGCCAGGAGATGGGCTGGCAGGAGGTGTTGTGTGGGGTGTAGTTGTCTGGTTGGGGGGGAAATTAGTGGGAACCGGGGTGGAGCTTGGTTCGGATAAAAAAGGCAGTAGGCGTAGCATGGGGTTGGGGTCATCCAAAAAATTATAGGAAGGAGCATCTTTGGACGTAGAAATTGTAAATGGCAGAACATTTTCGTCAAATGTAACGTGACGGGAAATTATAATTTGGTTGGTGCGGAGATCAAGGCAGGTATACCCTTTGTGATTAAGGGGGTAACCGAGGAAAACACATGGAGTAGAACGTGCCTGGAGTTTATGTGTGGTAACGGAAGGGTGGTGAGGGAAACATAGACAACCGAATATCCGAAGATGATCATAGGTTGGGGTTTTGTGATAAAGAAGGTGAGTAGGAGAGAGGTATCGGAGGGGTTTAATTACTAGGGAGGATATTATGTAGGTAGGCAGCCATATGGATGGCGTGAGGCCAGAAACGGGCGGGAACAGACGCATGAAGTAAGATAGTCCGTGCAATATTATTGATGGTCCGTATATATCGTTCGGCCCGTGCCATTTTGTGTCGAGGTATAAGGGCAAGAAAAACGGAAATGAATACCATGTTGTTGGGCATAAGCACGAAAAGCAGAATTGGCAAATTCTTTCCCGTTGTCACATTGAAAGGTTTTAATGCTTCGTTCAAATTGAGTGTGAACATACGCATGAAAATTAACAAATGTGGAGAAAGTTTGTGACTTAGCAGTTAAGGGAAATACCCAGACAAATTTAGTATAATCATCAACAAAAATTAAATAGTATCGATGACCAGTAGAACTAAGAACAGGAGATGTCCATAAATCGCTGTGTATTATTTCAAATGGATAACTAGTAAAGGAGAGGGAGGGGGGAAATGGCAATTTGGTATGTTTGCCAAGTTCACATGAATGACAGAGTGATTGATTTAAACGAGTACAATGGATAGTATTATTTGTTCTAAGAAAACTAAAAACGGGATCCCCGGGATGTCCCAGCCTGTGGTGCCAAGTAGTCGCCGAGGTGGTGAGGAAAGCTGAAGGAGAAAATCTGGAAATGGTGGGCTGAAGAGGGTAGAGATCACCCGAACTATTTTATCTCATGAGTAGGCTGCCCGTGTGGAGATCCTTCACAGAAAAACCAACAGGGTCAAATTCAACGGAAACAGAATTATCAGTAGAAAAACGACGTACTGAAATGAGATTTTTTATAATGGATGGGGCGTGAAGGACATTTTGAAGTTGGAGTGGGGGATGAGGGGGGGGGGGGTAGGGTAGTCGTGCCAAGGCCCGAAATAGGTATGGTGTTACCATTGCCAACTACAATAAATTGTTTAGTACCTAATTGAGAAAGAGAGGTGAGAGTACCTGTGTCAGACGTCATATGGGACGTCGCCCCCGTGTCCATATACCAATTGCTATCCGGCGGCGTGAGTGTCATGGTGTGCATTGCAGCATTGACATCCGTGAGTGTAGGGGCTGGTCCTGAAAGATGCGCCTGTGGTGGACGAGCACCAAGTATGCCGGCACCAGGATTTGGGCGAGGAGAGGAGGGAGCAACCCAAGGAGCAGATGGGTAGGGACATGGCGGCATGGCCCAAGGGGAAGGCGGCATCCACTAAGCCCATGGTGGTGGTGACGTCCAAGCGTTAGGAGGGATGTCGGGCCGAGGTGCACCACGACCGCCACGACCGCGCTTGGCAGAACGTCCTCCGCGGTTAGGTGGGCTGGAGCGAGCAGCAGGTGGAGATGTGGCGCTATGTAGGAGGGCGCTGGCAGAAGGTGTGCCGAGTTGCTGTGCCTTCCGGGTCTCGTCCAGGAGAATCATGGAACGGGCATTCTGAAACGTAGGGAGTGGAACAGTCTGCTGAATGAAAGAGGCCACGGTGTCGTATTGGGCGGGAAGGCCGCTGACCAAACGAAGCACCAGGCGTTCATTAGTAACCAGAGAACCCACGTTTTGCAATTGAGTTGCCAAGGTTTTGAGGGTGCGGCAGTAGGCCAGAACATTTGGAAAATTTTCCAGACGGGTGTTGGAGAAGAGGTTTTCCAAATGTACAGCACGAGAGTGCTTGTTGTCGAGAAAGATATCCGTGATGCGTTCCCACGCCTCCTGAGCAGTGGAGTTCGGTTCAAGGATGGTATGGAGAAGATCGTGAGAGATCGTACCATATATCCATTGAAGCACAACTGCATCCAAGCGATTCCAAAGGGCGGCGGCTTCGGCTTTGGCGGCGGCCTGGGCAATGAGTTCTTCGGGGGAAGGAGTAGAGGTAGTAGATGAAGTGGTAGAGGTGGTAGTGGCGGTGGATGGGATAATATGATCGAGAACTTGATATGCACGGGCGGTGATTTTAAACAATTCCGCCCATGACGCATACTCAACGTTCTCCATATCGAGAGTAATAGGTATGAAATTTTTAATGTTGGTGATTGCTAAAGCGGGGTGAAAGGCGGAAGCTTTGGTAGTAGCCATTGAAGGAGAGAATAACTACTGATACCAAGTTAGAAGAATGAATTCACCGTAATCCAAAGTGTATTGATCGTACCTATTAATAGGCTGATTACAAAGCAATCCTATCTGATACAAACTTCTATCTAATACATCATACGTACATAAATAAGTCTAGGTACATTACTGTTGAAGCTACCTAAAACGAAGGGATCGGTAACAATACAAGTGGCTAATATATTATAGATATATACAAACGAATATATTAGAATATTTATATTAGTAGACCGTGTGATGATAATAACGTATGCATGAGGGATAATACCGCATGCATAATAATAGCGGCTAACAAAAACATTCCATCAGAAATTAAAATACATTCGGCAAAAAATTAGATGATCAATATTCTATCATAAAGTGTACTTTTTGATGGATAAATTTTTTATAATAATAATGATTCAAATTCCAATCAATTAACTAGTTCTTGATTTCAAAATCTTATCTGTACCTTTTGTCGAAGAGTAACAACAGCCTGTTTGGCGGCATCAAGGAGGATCAGAGTGGAGTGGAAGAAGGATGAGATCTTGTTGGCGGTGAAGAGAATTTTGCCATTGCTGTCGTCCCTTACTTCATAGCCTTTTATGAAAAAACACCACTTTTTCTTGACAGAAATTTGAACCTCACGAGGATCACAATATTTTTCATTAATCACCGCCATAGGTTCGCCGCACACCGCCTCTTCAGCCACGCCCATTGCTAAATTTGACGGCGGCCTTTGGGAAGCAAAGGAAGTGTATTATGTGTGTAAAAGATCTGATCGAAAGTTTAATACGGAGTACTATTCTTTCACAATATATGTTCTGCTTTTTACTTTTAATTAATTTGTACCTACTATAGTGATTAGTGTTTTTATTTCGGTGGTTAATTAGGTCTAACCGTATTTGATTTGTGGCCCATAATGCTTAGGGCTGCGCATCGAGCGGGTTGGGTCGGGTTTGCTATATTTTTTGGGTCTACCCGATTTGTTTGGGTTGGCCATTAACCAACCCGCGGTATGCAAAATAAGTTGGTAAACCATGCATGAACGGGTTAGGTAGGGTCGGGTATTGGGGAAAAATATCACTTGGAGTTGCATCTTTCATGTCGGAAATTAATGTAACCAATTTAAAACTCGATTAACTTGTTTCCAAAACACACAAAAACTCGTATCTTTTATAAGCAAAAACATTAGGTGATAGTATTAAAACATCCTTCCGTAAAGGAAGTTCATTTAGAAGAAAACGTAAATATATAATAATCACTTAGTCAAAATGATAAATGTTTAATTATAATTCTAATATCATAAAGTTCTAGATAGAGCACATTGGTCTTAAATTGAAATTATCTAAGAAAACATTATAGCATAATAATAGTAAAATGAACTTCGGCCGGGTCGGGTACTATCGGGTTTGAAATTTTAATTCCGCAACCCTACCCATTAGGTATGGGTTCTATTTAACACATGAATATTTTTAAAAATCAAATATCCGATTAAATAAGGTCGGGTAGGATTGGGTCGGGTGGATTATGCGGGTTCGGGTTATTCTTGTGCAACCCTAATAATGTTAATTGGATTGATTTTTGGTAATAGCTCTAATGTGATCCATCTATAGCATTTGTTCACTAGTAGTGTCACGTACGAACTCACGATTGGTAAATTATACTGTACAGTCGGCTGTAAGGTGAACACCGTATAGCCAGACGTTTTTGTAATTAAATCTCTATTCCGGCTAGCAACTCATCGCAGACGGCATTCCGATTCTGTACTAACGTTCGATCACTGCCTTTCCCCTTCACGTGCCGGGAAGGAACTTGAGAAACCATTCCGTATTCCTCAAGTGAAATCACAGCTCCGAATGAACAAATTGAAGCAATTTAAAGCAGCCGCCGATATAGAGCATGAGCATCCATCTTTCTCAGTCATCTCAAGAAAAAAACTCAAGCAATCACATCACAATCATGGAGGTAAGCATCAAAATTTTCACTTCTACAGATTTATCTCTAAATAATTGAATACCAATCTAATTTAATTCAAAATTAAGAGCTCGATTCATTGAGTTTTGTGTTTATGTTGCAGGAGTCATTGGGGATGACACTGATGGATTTGATCACGTTTATGAATATTGAACATACTATAAATGAGTTTTATGCTAATCTCAAATGAGTATATCGCTAAAATGAATGAAAATACACAAACGAGCTTTTGATTTTTTTGATACTCATTCCGTAAGTTGTCTATGCTCATTTGGTATCGGTGTTCTACTCATTAGATTTTAACATAAGACTTGATTATAGACGCGAGAGCATAGATAATGATGCTCAACCATACGATTCTAATACTCAATAGAAGAGATTTGATACTCAACGAAAATGTATTCATGATCAACTAAAAAACATACGATTTTCATATCAATGCTCATTTCATATGTTACATAGCTCAATTGGTACTGATGTTATGCTCATTTTTAAAATGTCATAACAATACATACGGAAAAGATCCTGTCCAGCCGGAGGGACAGGATCCTCCGTCCGGCCGCCGCCGTTTGGGGCGGTTCCCGGTGGAGTTTTTTGATGAAATTTTTATGGAATGTTCCTCATCAAGTCTAGTTTATCCACAAAAAATTTCAGCTAAAAATTCGATCGGGAAGGCAGTCAAATAATTTTTTGAAACATAACTGCGTTTTATATGTTTAAGTTGGAGCAGTTATCTTCAAAAAATTATTTGACTGCCTTCCTGATCGAATTTTTAGCTGAAATTTTTTGTGGATAAACTAGACTTGATGAGGAACATTCCATAAAAATTTCATCAAAAAACTCCACCGGGAACCGCCCCAAAAGGCGGCGGCCGGACGGAAGATCCTGTCCCTCCGGCTGGACAGGATCATTCCTCACAATACATATTTCAAAAGTATTATATTACATTAGATTCGTATATTGAAATTCATAGGAATTTATTATAGATATAATTTAATGAGATTTTATAAAAGAAAAAATAAGAAAAAGAAAGTGAATTACAATATATGGAGTTGATATCACAATACTCATTATTTGACTCATAATGTTCAGTAGAATATGTCTGATGTTCATTAAAAGTGTATTAATGCTCATATAATGAAAACTACAATTTTCACTGAAATTATGAAAATGCCACCGTTTTTTAGTTGTGATACCAGCTTTCTTGTAATAACATGGTGCACTTATTAGACGCTTAATACTCATTCAAATTGGACTATTGCTCATTAACAGCACACTAATGCTCATTTAGCAGAAACCGAGATTTTCACATTATTACAAAAATACCACCGAATTATTTTGCAATTTTTCCCTTGGGCCTATTACTGGGCCGGGTGTACGGTGCTCGCCGTACAGCTGGTTGTATCATATACGTCTCCCTCACGATTTGACAAGTTCGAATATACTACATAATTACGTAATTACGTTAATTAATACTGATCTTATTGGACCTTAATATATATATACTCCGTTTATAATTGACTATACATCGAAAATTTAGGGTGAATTTATTTGAATTGGAATTCTTTAATCTAGTTTGGTCTCATCTGATTTGATGTGGTCTGGTATGAAATAGTTTGATCTGATCTGGTAAACGTATTTTTCGTCTATATGTTTTTTTATAATTGTCGAGCTCGTGTCTTTTATAATAGTCTAGTCTGAATTTGTATGGTTTGACACTGAAATAATTTCAAGTAAAAAAAACATCCTTATATTAGAACCAAGCATTCCAGCCCAGCTGGTTATGAGAGGGTCGTGCCTAGCTAGTGGGAGGTCTCGAGTTTGAAACCCGCTAGGCACATAAGAGTTCGAAACTCAATGGAGTGAGTTTCAACCCTAACTACTCCAGGTCCCCCAGACCCCCTGGAGTGAAAGAAAAAAAACATCCTTAGTAAGAGAGGAATTTGGTAAATGAAACTAGTGTATTTTACGGACACACCTATTTACTTCCGTTTATCTAGGTGGACAATCTAGGTCTCGTTTCACCTCAAATTTCAATTAAATTACTACCGTAAATTAATTTTAGAAAAAAAAAAACAAAATCTTTGTTTTTTAATCACTCATTCTTTTTAATCGTTTATAATTTTTAAAATGATTTAAGATATGTTTGGAAAAATTAAGAATGGAGAATACTAGGGTAGTTTCAGCTCACAAGTAACTTTACAATGGGAGATATGACCATTATTTTGGAGTATAGATCAAAATGAAGAGCTCTTGAAAAACTTAATTCTGCTTTTGTGCCTAACCAATTAGCATGACCTTGTGAAGAATATTACCGGGGTTGAATACGGATGCTGGGGTGGGGTAGTGTAAAAAACGCTTTTTTATTGGGGTTGCGTATTGTGGCCGACTGACTGAGATAAACCTTTTTTTACTTCGGCCCATCATTTATGTCAGTCCTCTTTCTACTTCGGGCCACCAATCATGTTGGCCCTTTTCTTCATCGGCCCAACTCATTTAGACCCTTTAGGATATCTATCTATTATCTAAAAACTAATAAACTTCAATCAAGGTTATATCCTTTTGGGAACTAAAAAAGTGTTGGTGTAACACATTGCTATAAGTGTTTGTACACTATACTTTCACGTTTGTACAACGTACGAATACCCTTCCGTTATCGTCATGTCCTTGCCGTTCCCTGAGCCCCTACCTGTTCGCATACATCAAATACAGCAATTAATGTCGGCCTCTAATTCACCTTTGAGCCTAATCTCCTAGCGTGTGGTAGAATCTCGCAGTTTTTCAGTTTCACGTCTTCCTGAGATTGATAGTACCTTCACTCTCCTCATTTTGGGGCCTTTGCTCGATGATTTCAGGGACTGACCCAAGGTGCACGTTGGGTACCCAGGTCTCACAATGAATCCAAGCACCTATGTCCTTAATTTCAAACCATTGGTAAGATTTAACTAACACTTTCATTATTGATGATGACGTAGACTATATCAAGAGCATGTGTACAGTTTAATGGAAGGCAAATTTAGTTTTGTTTAAGCATGTGTGTCAGTTTGTGTTTGTGAATTATTTTCACTACTGCTTTTATGTAATATATTTGAATCCATATATTTTGATTGAATGCCAATGCGATCTTAATTTGGTAGAGATGAAAAGTAAAGTTCTCTGAAGCATGCTAATTGCTTGTGTATATGCCTGAATGAGTACATATTTTAGTCTTTCTCTAAATGACAAGTGATTGAAGTCATGAAGGCCTCGGATGGTGTTTCCTTGTGAAACACATTCCTAGGAATTTTGGGTTCATATAGTCCTTTCTTCATCTATCATTCCTATGTTCTTCGGTATTTTCTTTGACTATCTTAAGTTTAGATAACGACTATTCCTTTTTCCAATATTATACTTCTAAGACGTGTATTTTCTATATTATGTTTTATTTTCGAATAAAAGGCACTACAAGAATCTGATTTTCTACCACAGTAGTCAATTAGTCATAAACAGTCACAGAAGACTATCAAAAATATGATAAACATTATACTCCGTACTTTTTTTGGTAACAGAACCTCATATCTTTTTTTCTGATTTCTTGTGTTTATGCCTAAATGAGATTTTTTTAATATTTTTGTACTTCCTATATAATACAGAGTATAAGATCAGGGACACATAATTATTTAACAATCGAAAAGATAGATGATTTATAAGAAAAAACACTTTGTTCAGGATTGAGAAAAAACACATAATTATTTAACAATCGAAAAGATAGATGATTTATTAAATTTGTCATCCTTTCATATGCTTTCGAATTTATTAATTTTCAAAGAACAACAAATCTGG